GGCCCCCCAACCGAATCAGCTCCGCTCCGGGGCATCTTCTGGACCGAAGCGCGGTCCAGGCACCGGGTCCCGAAAGGCGCTGCCGCCGCCGCACCCGAAGCATCTCGCGGCCGCCCGGTTGCCTGTCCCGCCTAAAGGCCTTTTCATCGGAACCACGGAAAGGAAAGTGCCAACGTCCAAGGCCGGAGGGTCAGCTCCGAATAGTCCTCTGGAGGCCAAGATTTTAGCCAGAGAACGATCCTTTGCTTTAGATAGACAGACAGACAGACATTTCTATCTAATCTATCTATCTCTGTCTGTCTACTCATCTATTATCTCTCTGACTGACAGAGATAGATTAGATAGAAATAGAAAGATAGGATAGAGATAGGATATAAGATAGATATAGATATATAGATATAGAAAGAAAGAAAGAAAGAAAGAAAGAAAGAAAGAAAGAAAGAAAGAAAGAAAGAGATAATCCTCCGCAGGCTCTTCTCTTTGGAAGGAACAAGCAAGCAGGCGCCGTAGTAGGAAACCTGCCACGCGTGGGATGGGGGTGCAGATCAATCGGCAGGGGAGCCCCAACCGAGCCTGGTTCAGCAGCCAGCTGGGTCCCCCACGGGCATCATTTTCCTAGCAGGATCCACACATGGGCACAAGAAAGAGCCCCCCCCCCCAGCTTAGAAACAGTTGGGGAAGCAGAGCGCGAAGAGACAGAGAGCTGCCCGCAGTTTGCTGTAAAATAGGCAGCTGTGACCATGTTTTAAAATAAATGAGTAAACGCTTCTTGTAATGTGCCAGACCAGTTAGCGGACTGCGTCCCAGCAATAGATGCGGTTCCCACGTTCAGGATCCCACAGAAGGTGGCCTAAACAAGCCCCGTTGTTCCACTGAGGTGTCACTAGGGGGCAGCACTGAGCACTTCATCAATGCCAAGATGCTAAAATCTGGGGGTCCCCAAACTTGGCAGCTTTAAGGCGTGTGGACTTCAATTCCCAGAATTCCCCCCACCAACATGGCTGGCTGGAGAATTCTGGGAACTGAAGTTGCCAGGTTTGGAGACCTCTGTGCTAAATGGATTTAGAGACGAATACAGGAAGTCCTTGATTTACAACAGTTCACTTAGTGACCGTTCAAAGTTACAACAGCACTATAAAAAGTGACTTATGACCATTTTGCACACGATGCTTGTAGTATCCCCATGGTCATGTGATCAAAATTCAGGTGCTTGGCAACTGACTCACATTTATGACCGTTGTAATCTTCCGGGGTCATATGGCCCCCCCCCCCCCATTTTTGACTTTATTACAAGCAAAGTCAACAGGGAAACCAGATTGACTTAACAACCATGTTAATCAACTTAACTGCAGGGATTCACTTACCTGTGTCACAAAAGATGGTAAAATGGAGTGAAATTCGCTTAACAAATGTTTCACTTAGCAACAAAAACCTGGGGGTCAGTTGTGGTCATAAGTCGAGAATTACCTGTATAACCTCTGGCTTGTAGACTGGGAAATCCCCCAGCCACCCCATTCTTGCCAGAATACAAGGTGTACCTGACTGCAAAGCCCACAGCAGGAGTTGAGGCTGCCTGAGAGCAGCCCCTCTTGATTTAATCCCGCAATCTTCCAAGCCTCTGCTCGCACACAACCTAAGGACCACCCAGACTGAGGTTGGTACTCTGGGCAAACAAGGATGGCCTCCCACCATTGCATCCGTTCAGGGGGAGGGAACTGGCACCGCCATCTCTTCAGAGAGCTGATAACCATCTCCAGACAGCTGCCAAGGGCAAGGCTACCGCCCCCCCCCGCCCCCTGCTAGGTTCGGCAGGCCGGGAAGAAGCGGCAGGCGCTCACCCTAATGGGGCAAACAGGCCTCTTGAATATGATGACGGTGAGCAAGATCATACTGAGAATATTAAGGGTGCTAAGAAACATTATATTTTTAAAAGTTGTTTAAATATTTTATTGAACAAAACAGTTAAAAACATTGAACATGGTGAAGTCGGTTTGACATAACTTTTGGTCAGTATCGCATAGATATGTATTTTCCTATATACAATTATTCAAATTTAAAATTATTAAAAGATGAACAGACCTATGGAACAGCTGTCCTGGCCTACATAAGAGGTACCACAGACAAAATCAGTAAGATACTACACAGGCATCACATCAAGACTGCCTTCAAAACAGGCAGAAACTTAGCAGCCATCCTAAGAAACCCCAAAGATAAAATTGACCTGGAAAACCAAGGCATATATGAAGTCCCCTGCGCATCATGGCCTGCCACACACATTGGAGTACCTGCCTGGATGAACACAAAAATGCAGTAAAAAAGCTGGAATACACTTCCTCACTAGTCCAACACATGAAAGCCACAGGTCATAGCATCGACTTCAATGGCACCAAAACCCTAGCCACGATAGAAAACCCCAGACACAGAATTATCAGAGAAGCTATAGAGATTGAAAAAAGACCTGAAAGCATGAATAGAAGAGATGATTCCACCAGACTGTCAATTATTTGGAAGCCTGCACTCACAAAGAAAAAAATCTCCACACCACAAGCCAGGCTAACACCTGGGCACAAACAGATCCCACCTGATACCTCCAGCTCAAACACACCCCAACCAGGCACCCAGATGAAACCTAGCTTCCTAACAAATGATAGCCTTCCATTTACTCGGAGCCGAGCGGCACTAAAAGCCTCCAATACAGGAAACTCAATGTTGCCATCCAATCAAAAAATTCTACAAAACAGACAGAAGATATTAGAAACATCAATCAAGCAGAACACAGCAAACTCCAAGACCAATAAACACAGACCAAGTCTCCCAACCAATCAGGATGAAGAAAAAACCATTCTGGCACAGCAGTAGGCTAGCACCAAATTTAAAACAGAAATGGCTGTGAAAGTCTGACTCACAGACGAACACAATACAGAAGCCTGATGATGGCAGATGAGATTCTGCCGAAACGTCACAACAATTTAAAAGCACAACTATAATGACATGGGAAAATACCCGAACAAAGCTGAATACCATACATATAGATACCCATGAAAACTTAAGAAAACAAATTATTCAGATGTATACATTTGTTCGCTCATATATTATATTTTCCAACATTATTGGTCCTATTTTCAACTCATACATTCATTTACCCTCTCAGCAACTCCTTTCCCAACTCAAGACCTTCCTTTCTGCTCCCACCATTGGTAGAATCTATCCCAAATTGTGTAATAAGTTACTGCGCATGCATGTTGCACCACAGATGTGTCAAATGATATTGACCCATGAAAGAACTTCTTCCAAACACCAGATGTTTGCACTGTTATCTCAAATGATTCTCTACCTTTCTCTCCTTTTTGAGTGTTGTATACATAAATAAGGAAGTTTTAATTCGATAGCCCCAACCTTTTTGGTTGTGTGGAAGGTATTTTTTCCACACAGACTGGGGGGTGCGCTGCCTGGATCCCATATATGTACAGAAGGGGCTTTGCTCGCTTGTGCAGCCCAATTCCTGGTGGGCTGTGGACCCATGCCGGTCTACAGCCTGGAGGTTGGGACTCCTGTTTAACCTACCTTTCCAGCTGGGTCCTATTTGTGGAAAGCATATTAGGCTAACGGAACTTACTGGCATTTATACTTAGCAGCCTAGCTAACACTGTCCTCCCCAAGTCATCTCTTTGGCTACTGCAACCTGGAAGGCCAACCGGCCCCCTGAGGAACATTATTCTCCAAACACATCATGGAATGTGGTGGATTCTCCGGTTAGACTGGAGGAAGGTGGCAAGACGGAGCACAGCTTAGAGTCCCTTTCGCTGCAGAAAGCAACGCAGGCCTGACCTCCCCGAGAATCCTTGAAGCCTTATCTGATAGTTCCTGAGGGAATGTAGTCCTCTCCAGTGAGATTCTTGTAACACAGGTGACTAACAATAAAGCTGCCCTTGAGACTGTTCACAAGCCATTCTGCTTTCTTGCATCTGACACTGAGCAAGATTTGAAGGCGTTGCTGCTGCAGGCTTCTGGCATCTGCACCCAGCAAAGCCTGAGGCCAAAGCTCTGCTTAAAATAAGCAGTTCCTTTAACATAGCCGATAAGGAGAAAAGTTGGGAAATGATGTCTGAACCAAGGACAGTGGACCAAATTGGGCAAAAGCTTCTCGTGCTTAGATCCCAGAACTGAAGATCCCACATGGTTTTCGATGCCTCACTGTAATCACATCTTGCCTTGTTAAGAAGCTGTGTGTTAAATAGGTATTGTGAAATGCCATGTAACTTCTGTCTTATGCAGGTCAGGTCATGTTGCCTCCTACGGTTTGTCAGACTTCCTGAACTGTACTAATGGGGACAGAAGAATACAATTTTATTGCTTAGAAACTAAACAGGGACCTGGGAGCTCTCTGACATTCTGGGGATTAAGGATCTTATGAACAGAAGAACAGGGACATTGACACCCGCTGGATAGGTTACCTAGCCTGGTAAAGAAGCGTTTGAAAAACCAGCCCACAAGCTCAGAGAATGAACCTTTACCCTCATTAAGAACCTTCCCTCCTTTTGCGGGTCACAGCCCAAATGTTTACAATTATCTCAAGGGAAGAGAGGTGCGCTTTTCTGCCCTTCATTCTGCAGAAACAGATTTCCCAGCCCCAAGAGCCTGGATTTTGTCCCCTTGTTCCCCAGAGGCTGCCTCTCCCAGTCTAGATGCCTGTGGAAAAGGGGAGAAAAAGAAAGAAAAAAAGATTGAAAAAAGAAAAGAGGGAGAAAGAAAGGAGAAGAAAGGGGAAAGAAAACGAGAAGAAAAAGAAGAAAGAAAACGAGAAGAAAAAGAGAAAGAAAAGAAAAAAGGAGAAAAAGAAAAACAAGGGGAGTAGAGGAAAGAAGGGAGGGAGAAAAAAAAAGAAAGAAAACTAAATTAGAAAAATCTCACTAGAAGGCCCTCGGAGGAACTTCCGCCTTTGGCCGGAAGCGGGGGAGCCGACCGAGGGGAGAGCGCTTCCGCACCGGCCGGGCCACGTGACCGTCCAAGATGGCGTCCTCCAGCGCAGCCGGCAAAGCTCCCGAGTCCGAGCAGGGGCCGGAGCCGGCGGGGGACCTGCGCAGCGTCCTGCTGACCAGCGTACTGCAGCTGGAACCTCTGGACGTGGACCTCTTCCGGTCAGCGGGGCCGGAGCCGGCAGGGCCTCCGCCGAAGTGGCTGGGGCAGAGTTTCTCGACCCTGGCCGCTTGAAGGGTGGGGTGGGGGGGGACTTCAACTCCAGCATACGCTGCCTGGGGAATTCTGGGCGTTGAAGTCCCCCCCCCCCCTTCAAGCGGCCAGGGTCGAGAAACGCTGGACTGGGAGGAGGAGGAGGAGGAGGAGGAGGGGGAGGCTCGACCTGTTGAACGTCTGCGGAGATTCTCAGTCATCCAGGACATCGTGACCCCAAAGGTGCTTTTTCAAGAGGCAACGGCACTTTCCTTAAAAGGTTTCTTTCGAAAGGCCGGCTCCCTTTTTGAAAAAGCAGCTTTAGGGCTCGACCTGTCGAGTTTCTGCCTGCCTACAGCCGTGGAAGTCGCCCTGCCCAGAGGCTTCCCTGTTTAGAGTTGGTGAGGTCGGCTCTGCGTCTACCTCGTGAACCAACAGTGGGGCAGCCACCTTGTCCAAGGGGACACGCAGCTGGGCTGGTCCCAGGCTCTAAACGTTGCTTCAGAGGCCCTGTCCCAACAGAGGGCTGATTCTTGGGATTCGGCCTTGGGTCTTGGCACCAGAGAGGAGTGCTTGGGGGCAGCCACTCGCCTCCCCAGCCTGCATCACCCCCCAAATTTCCCCTGAGGAGGGAGCCATTGCCGGCCATAACTCTCCTTCTCTTTTCTCCTTAGGGGAAGGCACTACTGGGTGCCAGTCACGCAGCGTCTCTTTGGAGGGCAGATAGTGGGCCAGGCATTGGTGGCAGCAGCGAAGGCCGTGACAGACAACCTGGAAGTCCATTCACTCCATTGCTATTTCATGAGGGCAGGTAATGGACAGTTATGGAGACGGAGGGGTGAGAGACCCAGCCAGGGTGCCTGTCAGACCTAAAGGAGGGTGCTTGAAGCTGCTCTGCTTATAATTTATTTATTTGTTAGATTTATTTCTCACTTACCATAATAAAAGGAAGAAAAATGAAAGGAGCGTAAAGAGAAGTAAAATACCAGAACCATAAAATTAACAGTGATGAAGAAATGCTGATAATAATACATCCAATATGATATTCAAAAAGAAATGAGGCAGATTTCCCTGATCGTGAGACCAGGTGGTGGAATACTCTGCTTCCTGTAGCTGCTGCCCTGTTGTCAAAAAGTTTTTAAGGAAAGATTGGGCAGCTATTTTCTGGGATGTAATGGGTGGGGGGTAGGTGGGGGGTGGGGTTAGGGGTTATTCTCACAGCCACCTGGGTGTCTTCTTGGCTGGGACAACTGGGGGCTCACGGCAGGCTCTTCTGGCTTCCAGGAGACCCCACTGTGCCTGTCCTGTATCAGGTGGAGCGCATGCACACCGGGAGGAGCTTCTCCGTGCGCTCGGTCAAGGCCATCCAGCATGGGAAGCCCATCTTCATATGCCAGGCTTCTTTCCAACGGGGGCAGCCCAGCCCGGTGCAGCACCAGTTCCAAATGCCGGCTGTGCCGCTCCCAGAGGAACTCCTGACCCAGGAGCAGCTGACCCAGAAGTACCTGCGGTGAGTGGCTGGGAGGAACAGGATTTGCTGCGGCACTGAGCCAACGGCACACTTGGCGTGTGGAGAGAGTGAACGTCAGTGGGAGATGCTCCCAGCCGCTCCTTCCTGCAATGGAGGAGCTGGCCCTAAAGAGAATTTAGGTCCATCTCTTGTGAAATTCATTGGTGATTCTTGCATCTCTGGCAGCTGGGAGCATCCCAGGTTCGTGGCTTTGTCCTGGCAGCAGTGCTGCAGAATCCGGCGCCTCAGGAGTGCCATGGGTGTGTCGAGCTGAGGCTGAGTCTCCACTCTCCTCCTACCTCTCCTCTGCCTTTGGCAGAACGTACCGTGCTGGCACAGCCTCCGTGATTTCTAGCACCTCATGCCGGCATCTGCCTTTTTTTCCAAAGGGACCCCAACCTTCTGGAGAGATACCGGCAGAGACTCCAGGGGATGCTGGCCCAGGAAGTTCCGATTGAGATGAAGCCGGTGAATCCACCCGACTTTTTTCACCAGAACTCCCAGGAACCCAAGCAGCTCTTCTGGGTGCGCGCCAAGGGCTACCTTGGTAAGACCCGCATCCTGACCCCAGCCTGCTTTCCAAGGGTAGCTTTGTTGTGCCCTGGTCTTGGGCAGCTCCCAGGGGAGGGAAGAGCTAGCCGGAGAAAGCGCGGCCCTCCGTGAGGCAGCCGAAGGTTCTTGTGGCATGAGGAGGGTCTGTGCCCCACCTCCTTCAGAAGGGCTGCCCCTCGGAGCCCACCTCTTGTCCTCCGCTGGTGGGCCAGTTGGGGCCATTGCTGTTGGCAGGACAGCGTCACTCCTTCAGGCACCGCGTTTGTATGAGGGGGGTTCTGAGTGTGAAGGCTGGTTATGGGGCTAGGCTTAGGGACCGTCTCTTTCAAAACAAACCTGCCGGGCCCCTTCCAGAGGATGGAGAGCTCAGCAGCTGCCTCGTCCTCATGGCATCTCCCCCCCCCCCCCCCCCCCCCAGTTGCTTCAGGATGCCAGTCTGATCGGCATGGGGCTCTTTGGCCCGTGTTTCCTGCGCTGCAGATGATTTTGTGACGTTTATAGCTGCGGGTGGTTCACCCAAATTGACGTGCTCAATTCTGCGCTCGGGATGATGGCAAACAGTGCAAGAAACGTAGGCTGAAGAGCCCCCTGGGCAGAAGTGCCCTTGGCCAGTGGAAGGGGGCTGCCTCGCCTCTTCCTGTGCAGCCCAGCCTCCCCCCACCCCAGACCCGGCCCTTGGGTGCTACTGTCGGCCTCTCCCTTCCAGGCGAATGCGACATGAAGCTGCACTGCTGCGTGGCTGCGTACATCTCAGACTACGCGTTCCTGCGGACGGCCCTGTTGCCGCACCAGCACCACACGGTGACGTTTCTGGTCTCGCTCGACCACACCATGTGGTTCCACGCGCCCTTCAGGGCTGATCAGTGGATGCTGTACGAGTGCGAGAGCCCCTGGGCCGGTGAGCACCCCGACCAGCCCGCGGGGGGGACGGGGGCGGGTGGGGCAAGAGAGAGGCCGCAGCTCTTCCGTTCTCCTCTCCTCCCCTCCCCAGGTGGCAGCCGGGGCTTGGTGCAGGGCCGCCTGTGGCGCAGAGACGGCGTGTTGGCGGTCAGCTGTGCCCAGGAAGGAGTAATCCGTGTGCAGCCGGCCAGCAGCAGCAGCAAGCTCTAGCCTGCCTTTGTCTTCTCCCCTAAGGGGAGGCCCCCCTCCCCCCCCCCTTGCCCTGGCTGAGCCTTCGGTGGGTGACGGTCGTTTACAAGGACACCCCCCTCTCCCCGTGACCCCTGGAGGTGGCACTTACAGATGGAAGCACTGATACTTTCCTTGGGCGTGTTAATTTATTGTAGACTTATTATTATTCTGTTAATAAACAGCGGGAAGCATCCCTGGCAGCTCTGGTTCCTGAAGGGGAGGAAGGCGATCCTGGCGGCCCCACCCCTCCCCATGCCGGAGGGGAGGCCCCTCTGCTCCCTGCTCAGGCTGCGGCCAGGAGTCCCGCCCTCGGCCAGTGCCCAGCGGCCTCCCCCCCCTCCGGAAGGGAAGAGCCTGTGGGGAGCCTCTCAGGAGATGGGCCCTGCAGATGCTCTCGTCACCCCAGCACGGCCGTTGTCATCACCCCACTTTCTCGGAAGGAGCTGGGGGGACTCCGCGTCCCAGAAGCCTCCTCTGAAAGGGCCAGCCCGCTTCGTCCCACTGCTGGGGCAAGCGGAGGTGCAGGGCTCAGAAGAGCGAGGGGGGGCCCTGGGGCCTTGCTGCTGGCCTGGGGGAGCCCCCTCCGCTTCTCATCGGGCGCCCCCGTTTCCTGGCAGCTCCTTAGGGCAGCGCCTGCTGGAGCAGCAGCTCCTTCAACGGGGGCCCCGGCTGCTGGGCCTCCCCTGCTCCCTGCAGGCCGCGCAGGCGGGCCTCCGCCTGCCGCTTGTCCTGGCCCAGCACCCAGGCCAGGTGGACGTGGGTCTGCAGGAGGGCGGCCAGCAGCGGGTGGCTCTCCTGGCCCTCCAGCTGGTGCAGGGCCTGCTGGCACGCCCCGAAGGCCTCCCCCCACTGCTCCAGCTCCTGGTGGCAGGCGGCCAGGCCGGCCAGCGTCAGCAGGAAGTGCCCCGAGCGGCAGGCGCCCAGCTTCTCCTGCAGCCGCCGCGAGGTCTCCCAGGCGGCCAGGGCCTGGCGGTGGAGGCCCCGGCCGGTCAGGCTCTGCGCCCGCTGCAGGCTGTCCAGGAAGAAGAATTCCAGGAAGGCGGCCGAGCGGCGGATCTCGGGCGAGGCATAAAGGCCGGCGAGGAACCGTTCGAAGGCCCGGCTGCGCTTGGCGATAGTGGCGGGGGTGAAGTTGTGCCACAGCTGCTTCCGGGGGAGAGAGACCCCCGCCATGTCTCGGCTGAAGTGGCGGCGGAGACGGCGGTTCAGCCGCTCAAAGTCGGAGTAGCAGCGGGCGACGGTGGCAGGCGCCTGGTCAAACTGCCCTGCCCGGATCAGGTAGATGGTGTAGAGCTGGGTGCCAAGGGAGAAACTGTTGAGGGGGGGTGAGGAGGAGCTGCCCAGCCCGGCCCCTCCCCACAGCGAAGCCTGTTGACCCTCCCACCGCCAGGCCTCCTGCAGAGGGTCCTCCCCAGCGGCAGAGACCTGGGGGCAGGCGAAGCGGCTCCTGCCCCTCGGAGAGAATTACCTGAGGCCCTTCTGAGCCCAGAGTGCCCGACGCAGCAGCAGAAGGAAAGAGACAACAGTCAAAGGCAGCGCCCCCCCCCAGGACCCCCCCCGCCCCGCTGAAGGGCATGGGCAGGCCCCCTTGGGGAAAAGAGGCGGCTAAGAGGATGGGGAGCCGGGTGGGCTCTGGCCTTGCAATACTGGGGTGGGGTCTTCCTTTGGGCTGGCCTTCCTTGCGGGGGGGGGGGGCGAGGGAAGCCCCCCCCCCCCGATCCTTGCCCCCAGGGTCGCCTTCACTCACCACGTGCTTGGAGTTGCGCTCGCTGACCACGCTGGCGCTGGTGACCTCAAACAGGAGGCGTTGGGGCACGAAGCTTCCCCGCGATTTCCGCCAGAGCTCCTGCAGCTGCCGGGTGAGCAGGTGGCTGCCCCGGTGCTGGGCCAGGGGGGAGCCGGACTCTAAACCAGAGGGGGAGGGAGCAACAGGTGAGGCGGGGGGGGGGGGGGGGCGGGGCCGGGGGCGGCCCCAGGCTGGCGGAGGAGCAGGCGGGGCCCCTCCCCCCCAGGGGTGGAGGGGGGGGGCGGGGGGGGGAGGGAGAGGGTTTTACCCAGAGCTGAAACTTCCTATCAGTGAGGACAACTGACCGGTGGAACCACCGCTTCTCTCCAGAGGGATAGGGTGGGAAGACCACTGACCCAGAATGCTACAGGGCCTCCTGCCTAAGCAGGGGGTTGGGCTAGACGACCTTCAGGGTCCCTGCCAGCTCTGTTCCAGATCGAATGGCATTTCCAGATTCAGCACCAGGGCGGGGAGCTGCTTGGATTCCCTCCTAAACCGGGCGCTGCGGGAGGGTTTTGCCTAAATCCAGAGAGCCGGAATTATGGCCGACGGGGCTCCCCACCTATGACACCCCCCCCCCCCCCCGTCGCTCAGTGGGCGACCGGCCCCCCCCCCCCCCCAGGGGTCCCGGTGTCGCGCCGTACCTCCGACCTCCGCCGCCTCCCCGGGCAGGTCCAGGTTCCCTCCGGCGCCCCCCAGCCGGGCTCCCCGCTCGCCTTCCTCCTCCTCCTCCTCCTCCTCCTCATTGCTGCTGAAGCTGAGGGTGCCGCTGAGGCGCGTGGCCAGGCCCTCCGTGTCGTCCTCCAGCTCCGAGCTTTCCGGACAGTCCTCCGGGCCGGCGCAGCCCCCGGCCGGCCCCTCCGCCTCCCCGCCCGGGGCCAGCGCGTGCCGCAGCCGGTGCAGGAGCCGGGAGGCCATCCTGGGCGGGAGAGAGAGAGGGGCCTCCGGGCCGCCTCCAGCGGGGCTCCCTCCGGGGCTGCTGCGCTCTGTCGCCTCCCCGCGGGGCTTGGGGGCCGGAGGGCCGGCGGTCCCGCTGCTCACCTGCCCGGAGGAGCCGCTGGCCGCTTCCCGGCTGAGCAGCTCACCTGCCAGGGGCCGCCCTGCCCTCCTCGGCCCCGGGGACGTCGACGCCCGCCTCCTTCGCCGTTATCCCGGCCAAGCGCCGCCCCGCCGCCCCGCTCCTCCTCCTCTCGCCACCGTGGCTCCGGCCACGGGCCGCCTGCGCGCAGCCGGCAGCCAGAAGCAGGGCCGGGCCTCCCCGGCAAGCGGCCTCCCTGCCGGGCGAGCTCCGGGGCCGAAGCCGCGCAGCCTCTCGCCGCCCCCCGGAGCCCCGAGGCGTCCTCTCCCCGCCCGCCCCCGCCGCGCTGCCTTAGCTCCGCGCCCGGCGGTGATGCTCGGTGTGGGAGCGCTCCGGCTCCGGCTCGCAAGGGAGGAGAAGCCGCCGCGCGGGGAAGGGCGAGTCCCCTCCGCCCGATCTAGATCCGCCGGGCAGCCGCGCGGCTCCTTGGAGGGCGGGAGGCCGCCGAGAAGCGGCTTCCCCCTTCCAGCGTGGAAGTGCTTGGCCTTGGCAGCCTTTGGCTCCCAGGGTAGTTTCTCTTGTATTTAGTTTAGGGCAGGTAGTGCTCACCTTGCAAACGGCCGCGACCCTTCCGAGTTACCGCGCGTCCCTGGAAAAAGCGATGCAGGGCCGTTTGTTCACACTTAACCCCCATCCCAATTCGGCCGCGGGGAGGTTTTCAAGAAGCAGCTGGACGACTATTTGTGGCAGAGGGTTTCCTTCTTGAGCCAGGGATGGACTAGAAAACCTCTAGGGCCCCTTCCAGCTCTGTTCTGGTGGGTGATTGATTTCCCAGGGCTTCACAAGTTCTCCCTTTCGGACAGACGGAGGGAAGAATTCCAAAACGGCCAAACGGAAAGGCCACCGAGAGGTGATGGAAGACAGCAAAGTTAGGAGCCTCAGGAGAAATGGCCGGCTCTGAGGCCTACACTCCAGGGCTGGCCAGACTTGGCCGCCTTAAGACTTGTAGACTTCAACTCCCGGAGTTCCCCAGCCTGAAGCTGCCTTGGCTTTTGGGCAGTTATATCTTGCTGTTAGCTTCTGCGGAGTCAGATATTATTCCAAGTAATAGAATAACGGAACAGAATAACATAGCTGGAAGGGACCTTAGAGGTCCTCTAGTCCAACCCCCTGCTCAAGTAGGAGACCTTACACCATTTCAGAGAAATGGCCGCCCAATCTCTTCTTAAAAACCTCCACTGTTGCAGCGCCCACAACTTCTGGAGGCGAGCTGTTCCACTAATTAATTGCTCTCATTAGTGCTGCTACTAAGCCAGGCGCCCCCCCCCCATCCTACCCCTGTGGGGTTCGGCTCTCCTTGCACTGGTTTCCATGAAATTTCAGGCTGATATTTCAACCCAGCTTCCCAAAGCCGTTCAGGATCACGTGGAATAATCTCCCTGCCGTCCGGGGTGTCCTTCCCAATTTTGTGCCATCTTCAAATCCCCAGTAGGCTTTCCTTCTTTATCCAAGCCCTCAAGGAGAAATCTGGACGAAAAGAAGGCCGAACACGGCCTACGAGGGACCCGTGCAAAAGCTTCCAGCATAGCTTTGATCAAAGCTATTCGGCATTTTAAAGCCAAGTGTTTATTGCAGGCGGTGACCCTTTGAGAGCTGCGTGCAACAAAATTTCATTTAAAAAAAAAAAGTTTTATTGATTTTAACAACAAACAAAAACACATAAAACATAAGACAAAAAACATAAAAACATCATCTTTCATAGATTTACAAACAGTGTATTGGTTGGTTTACCACTTTTTTTTGTGCATCCATTTCCTAGTCGCCATTATAGTTTTACTACAAAATAACTCATATTATCAATCAACAATTGTATAACCTAGTATCATTACTGAACAATCATTTAACTATAATTTTATTAATTCATACTTTAATGAGATAACTATAATTTACTTAATTTGTTTTACAACAAATCATAAAATCATGCCAAATCTATCTTAATAAAATTTTATAAAAATAGTATCAAAGAAAAAAAGTATATATTTATTATATCCTAAGTTTCTAAATATTCTATTATTATGTTTTATTATCTAACCATTGATAAAAAAGATCCCAAACTTCATAAAATTGCTTATCTTCTTGTTCTCTAATTTCAAATGTCACTCTACTCATTTCAGCACAATCCAATATTTTCTTAATAGTTTCTTCCTCTGATGGAATTTTCTCAATTTTTTCATTTTAATGTATGCCTGATTCGTGTACATTCAAAGTGACAATAAAGTTATTCTGAGCCTAAATCTATCATTCCACCTGCCATTCCGTGCGGCTGCATTTATTAATTTAAGTTTGTTGGCCACCCAGCTCCAGTGGACTGGCTCTCATCCCACTTTTAAGGAAAAATGTGTCAGATGTTTTGCTGAAAGCAAGGAACCATCTCGTGGCACACCCACCAGGGCAGAAAGCGATGTCAGACCTGATAACAAGAGAGAGCGGTCATTCAGCCATTCAGGTAAGACCTGTTTTTCAGTTCAGGTGATTTCCAGGCAGGTGAGTCTCAAAGGTTACGGCAATTTGTTTCCTAGAGAATGTCTCGGCTTGGCCTTTTCTGTCTGGCTTCCATTTTTCACCCTCTGCCTTTGTGCCCAAGGCCAGTCGATGTGGGGTTAGGGTTCAGGGTTCAGGGTTTGCAGACGGGGGATGAAGCCTGGGGGTTGGTAGGATTTCCCCACTCTTCCCCTGGCAGAGTGTCAGGGAATTGTGTGGCAGGTGTCCAAGTGAAGTCAGAGACACCAACACAAACATGTAGTTTTATATAAATAAACACACTTCATCTATATATATAAAAGCGAAAGACCCCTCACGCATCATCGCAAAATCTCCAGAACCGTCAAGCCTACAAGCTTGAAATTTGACCCATATGTTCCTCTTGGCTTCTAGGTGGCTCATTAAGAAAGGATTTTTCGAAATGAGCATCAGAGCATTTAGAGGATTTTCTATATTATTATTATTATTATGAACACGCTCTGATGCTAAGCATTTCTACTCCCCCTCCCCACCTGAAAAGAAATCGGTTCCAAATGCAAAACACAAGCAGAGGAGAGGAGTTTCCGTTTCAGTTTCACAGCTTTAGTACAGAACAGTTGAGCTAAGCCACGCCCAGGCTCCTTGCTGCCTCCTTGCTCACACAGCAAACACTGTTTCAGTTTCCAAACAGCCCTCAGCTCTCTCACACGCTGACAGGACGCTAGCCAGGTGAATACCGATGGGAGGCAGAGGCAGCATTTTTCCTCCTTATTTCCCTCCCCAGAAACTAAGCCCCACCGCAGAGTTTCGTATCCAGCTAGCGTTTAGAAATTTTCAGCAGCTGAGAGAGTCGGGCGCATAGGAGCCTCATGAAGTGAAACCAAATCCAGATAGTTCCTTGACTCACGGCCGCCGTTGAGCCCAGCATTTATTTTGGTAAGTGAGACATTTGCTCAGTCAGTTTTTTTGCCCCTTTTCACGGCTTTTCCTGCCTCCGTTGTTAAGTGAATCCTTGTACTTGCTTAGCTAGTGAGGTTGTTAAGTGAATCTGGCCTCCCCACTGATCGTCTGAAGGGGATCCCACGCCCCCCCCCCCGGGAGACGCTGCAACTGTCAGTTGCCAGGCGCCTGAATTTTGATCATGTGCAGGGGTAGGAATCCGACAGGGTTAACTACCGGTTTGGTGATTTATGGTGTGCTTCCCTGCATGCTGCGCGAGCACCTGTAAATCGTCATCGGCTTGCTGCCTGGGCAGCTGAGCAGCGCTGCGTGCAGAGAAGCAGCGTTTGAAAAAACACTTTTTTTTCCTGATTTTTCAACCACACCTATGCCTGAGGTTGAAAAAGCAGGAAATAAAGGTCAGGTAAGAGCCCAGGTAGGTGGGTGGGACAAAACATCATCAGACATAGAACTATGTCTGCTGCTCTCCAGAGCTACTGGTTCTACCGAGCCAGACAGAACCGCTAGAATCCCACCCCTGATCACGTGACCCTGGGGATGCTGCGAAGGTCGTAAGTGTGAAAAACAGTCACAAGTCACTTTTATCAGTGCGTTGCAACTTGGAACAGTCCCTAAGTGAACTATGGCAAGTTGAGGACTTCCTGTAGCATACAAAGCACAACAGGGGGAAAAAGGCGAGGGGGCAGGGGGGGGAAAGGGAAACTCCCCCTTTACACCCACAGCAACCAATCATTGCGCAGGTTGCCTCATGCAGGAGCCGGAACCCTCCAACCAATCAACTCCATCTAGCTCAGGTGGGGAAAGATGACATGTGGACTTCAACTCCCAGAATTCCTGAGCCAGCAGGGAGGAGCCCTAAGGGGTCCAGTGGGTGTGGGAGCATAGCTGGCTCAGGAATTCTGGGAGTTGAAGTCCACCAATCATAAATGGCCCATGGTTTCCCCACCTCTGATCCAGCCCAGGGGTCTCCAACCTTGGCAACTTTAAGACTTGTGGACTTCAATTCCCAGAGTTCCTCAGCCAGCAAAGCTGGGAGTTGAAGTCCACAAGTCTTAAAGTTGCCAAGGTTGGAGACCCCTGAAATCCCCACTCCAAATTTGATGGCATGGCCATCAACCTCCAAGAGAATTAAAGGGGACCTCAGAGGTCTTCTAGTCCAACCCCTTGCTGAAGCAGGAGACATACCATCCCGGGCAAAGGGTCGTCCAATCTCTTCTTAAAAGCCTCCAGGGATGGAGCGCCCACAACTTCTGGTGTCCAGCTGTTCCACCGGCTAATTGTCCTCCCTGTCAGCGAATGTCACCTTAATTCCAGGTTGCTTCTCTCCTTGACGAGTCCCCCCCCCCCTTGCTGCTTGCCCTTCCCCTCAGGTGCACGGAAGGCTGGGATTTGAAGTCCGCAGGTCTTAAAGTCCCAGGAGGGGCTGCCTGGGTGGGTGCCAGTCTTGGGAAGAGCCCTAAGGGGTCCGGTGGGTGTGGGCACTGCCCTGCATTGGGGTTCTGGGGAAGAGCTGAGCGGGCAGCCAAAATCCTGGCTTGTCCCTGCCCCGGCTCGGCTGGGTCTCTTGGCCACTGCAGACACCCAGCCTGTGGCGCCCCTCCCTGGCCGCCTGGTCGCTCTCTGCACCGGCTCTCCCCAAACCAGGGCCAAACCCTCTTCCGAACACCCGGGGGTAACCAGGGGAGGGTGGTTTTTTTGAGGGGGTGTTTAAGGAACGGCCTGCCAGCCTTTCCTGGGGGAGCACGGAAGATTGGAAAGTCCAGGTGGATCTGAGCCTGGGCTGAGTTCACTCACCAGGATGGACCCACTTGAATCGGACCCGGAACAGAAGGGAGAACAGACGGGAGAATAGAATGGAATGGACTATGGACTATGGACCAGACTAGAACCAGAACCAGAATTAGAATTGGAATATGGAAAGGAAAGGAAAGGAAAGAATACCACAGAAACAGAATTAGAATAGGAATAGAGAATAGAATAGGAGTTGGAAGGGACCTTGGAGGTCTTCTAGCCCACCCCCACCCCCCACAAAAGCAGGAGCCCCTCTGCCATCCCAGACAAGTGGCTCTCCAGCTTCTTCCTAAGGACTTTGGGCAGAAACGTGGCCTTGAACCTGGAGTCACTTTGGTGCCAGGGCGGTGCTGGTGAAGTTCCTCTGCCTGGCAATTGCCAGTGGCAGGCCCCCACCCCTCCCCCGGGGGCAAGGTGGTGGTGGGGGGCGCATGCTCTGTGGATGTGCCTGGGGGTGGGAGTTGGGGGGGGCGGCCCCTCCACCTGAGCCGGCGCTTCTCTGCCTTATTTAGCGCGCTGCCCCCAGCCCCCCCCTCCTCAGCAGCTTTCCTTGGGCATGTCTATTAATAGGGGGGAGGGCTCCAGCTGCTCCTGCCTGTCAGGCCCCGCCCTCCTCAAGAATTGGGCGGCCCCGCCCCAAATAGACCCCCCCAACCGGGGGGGGGGAGGGTCATGCTGGTTTGCCTGCAGCGTGTCCTGGGGGTCCCTTGTCTCCCCCAGGCGGCAGAGGTTGCCCGGTGGAGTCCAGGGGTTGGGAGGCTGCCCTCTGGCCTTCTCCCCCTCCCAGCCGCAGGGAAGCGGGAAAGAGGATCCCCCCCTAAAGAAAGCGGGGCTATTGGGGGGGGAGGGGAGAGCCACATAGGGGCTGCGGTGGGACCGCTGCTACATCCCTCCCTCACCCCCCCACCATGCAGAGTTCGGGGGTGGGAGGGGCTGCTGAATTGCTTTATTCCCCTAAAGCTCCGTGAGCCACTTAGCCCCCCTCCAAGTGGGGGGTGTTTGTGGGTGTGTGTGTGGGGGGGTGAATTAAGGCCGCCCTTTGTGGCTTCCTTCTGGATACGGGATGCAGAGACGGGGCAGGGCAGGCTGAGGTCTATCTATTTTTATTCCTCTCCAGGCTGGGGGGTGGGTGAGTGGGTGGAGGGGGGGACTCCAGGGGGACAGTTCCTTGCTACGCCTCAAATTGTGGGGAGTCGGAGGAAGCCACAGGACCGAGTCCTCTCCCCCCCCCCACACCCCACTCCCGGGGCTTGCACTGCCCCTCCCACTTCCCGGCCCCCCACTTCCTGGCCAGGAGAACCTTGGCTAAATTTGGTAAAGTGCCCGGCTGGCCAATCGACAGGTGAGGCCAAAGAGGGTTGGCCCTGGGCTGGGCTGCCTCTCCCGGTGCCCAATCGGAGGACCCAGGGGGGGCCCGCCGGGCTGGTGGGGTACAAATGGGGCCGAGTGGGTGGTGGGGCAGCATCTGCCATCTGCTCAGACCGCCGGGCGACACCGAGGTTCTGTTCTGTGCGAGGCTCCGGGGCGACACCTGTCAACATGGTAAGCACGGCAAGGCCGCGGGCACGGAGGCCGTTGAAGGACGGTGCCGGGACGGATGGAACTGGACCTCCTGCCGGGACGCCGGACGGCACGGATGGCCAGCTGGACCGGTTGGCTGAGTGTCCAATGGGACAAGCTGGCCGGGGGACCCAGGGCCAGCACAGGTGCGGCCAGGAAGCTTCCAGGACACCAGCCGGGCTCCAGCCGCTCCGTGTGAGGCTGGGGGTCACCAAGATCCATTGGATGAGGCTGCTGGCATGATGAGGAAGCGGGGGGCAGGACTGGGGAGGCCGGGTGGCTGTGGGGGCGATGGCGCCTGCTTCTTGGGGGGCCTGAAGTGGGCAGGGGTGTGGGGTGTTTTTTTGGGGGGAGTCAAAACTCCTGGGGACCTCCGGCAGGGAGGGAGAGGCTGCAGAAAGGAGGGGCTGCCTGGGGGGAAACAGCCCAGGGTCACGAGGAGCGCCTGGGCATCTGGCAGCCCCCGGAGCCTCTTGGAGGAGTAACCCAATCTGGGGGGCTGGACAGGTGTGGGTCCGGCTGGCAGGCCGCCTGCAGTGGCCCCTAGAAGGAGCTGCTCCAGCCCGGCTAAGAATAGCCCCTGCCTCAAGAAGCATCTTGGCTCTGGCCAAGGGAGCAAGGAAGTGGCCAGGAGGCCTGGCGGAGGAGGAGGGGGAGGGGGAGGGGGAGGAGGGGGAGGGCAGCACCCAGATTGTCCAGCCGGGCGGACTTGGCTCCCCTCGCCCGGGGGCTCTCGGGACTTGACTTAGGGCTCCATCTGGGAGAGACAATGGAGTCCCTTCCCTCCCTCCCTCCCTCCCTCCCTCCCTGGCCTGGCAGTCCTTCCCCAGAGTGGAGCCCCTCCCCGGTTGGGGCTGCTGCTGCTTCCCCCCTTGGAGCCGAGGAGCAGAGGGGTGGGGGGGCCCTGGTGCCCAAAGCCTCAGCTGCCCCTGGGGGCGAAGGTGGGAAGGCGGGGAGGCTGCGAAGGGCCCCGGGACTCAGGTCAGCTGGGAGGGGAGGGGGGGCTGGACTTCCCCTAGGCAGCCCCCCCCCCGGCCAGGCCCCCTCCCGGCCCCCGGTCACCCCTGTGCTTGCCTTGCAGACGGACCAGCAGGCTGAGGCCCGCTCCTACCTCAGCGAGGAAATGATTGCGGGTGAGTGGGCGGTGGAGGGGCGGTGGGGGAAGCCCTGGGGGGGGAGGGGAGGGGGCCCCAGAGTGGCCGCATCGAAGAGTTTGCCCGGGGGATGCCGGTCCTTGACTTAGGACCACAACGGAACCCTAAGTCCGGTTGCTAAGCAAGACGGTCGTGAAGGGAGTCATCTCATGTTTTATGACCTTTCCTGCCACAGTGACTAAGTGAATCGCTGCAGTTGTTTAGTTAGGAACGTGGTCACTAAGCGGATCTGGCTTTGCTGGTCAGAAGGCCGCAAAAGGGGATCGCCTGACACGCCCCCCCCCCCCCCCCCCCCCCCCCCCCCGAGACAAGGCAACTATCATAAGTGCGAGTCAGTTTGCCAAGCCCCTGAATTTCGATGGGGAGATGCTGGGGGATGCTCCCAGGGTCGTGAGTGTGAATATACGGTAATAGAAATCATAGGAATCATAACAGAGTTGGAAAGGGGCCTTGGAGGTCATCTAGTCCAACCCCCCCCCAGCTCGAGCAGGAGAGAGTCTATCCCAAGCATTAGCCTCTAGCTGGGATCAAACTCACAGCCTCCGGATTGTGAGGCAAGAGCTCCCCCTCCCTTCTTTGAGCGGTTCCCTAAATGAAGCCGTCGTAAGGGGAGGGCTACCTAGAGCCACTTCTGAACGGTTGGGCTTTGGGGGGCGGTGAGGCTGGGGGCCGCTGCCTTTCTCCGGCAGAGGATGAGACCCCCCCCACCCTCTTGGGGTCCCCCCTTCCCCCCCCCGCAGAGTTCAAGGCCGCCTTCGACATGTTCGACGCCGACGGGGGTGGGGACATCAGCACCAAGGAGTTGGGGACAGTCATGAGGATGCTGGGCCAGACGCCCACCAAGGAAGAGCTGGACGCCATCATAGAGGAGGTGGACGAGGACGGTGAGAGGGGGGGAGACGCCGGGAACGGGGGGGGAGGGGGGAAGGGCTGGGGAGACCCCCACCTCCCCTGACTCTGGCCTGGGCCCCCGTCTCCACGCAGGCAGCGGAACCATCGACTTTGAGGAGTTCTTGGTGATGATGGTGAGGCAGATGAAAGAGGATGCCAAGGGGAAGTCGGAGGAGGAGCTGGCCGAGTGCTTCCGCATCTTTGACAGGTCAGCCGGGGCGGGGGTGGGGGGGGAGGGGCTGTGGGGGAGGGGCGGGGGGGGGGGGGGGGACAGAGTCACCTTTTGGGGCAACAGGGAGGGTGCTCCCTTGTTTTATTCATTCATTAGGGCAGGGGTCCCCAAACTGGGCCCCTTTAAGACTGGTGGACTTCAACTCCCAGAATTCCCCAGCCAGCTCTTTTCTTTATAAGTTCGTAAGTAACTCCAAGTGGCCAATCCACTTCAGGATACGCCTCTCGGTCCCCAAAAGTGGCTTTTTTTTTTTTTTCAGGAGGCAAGTGGACTTTGTGGTTTTTTTCCTTCTTTGAAAACGTTTCGCTTCTCATCCAAGAAGCTTCTTCCGCTCTGGCTGGATGGTGGGGAAGGGAAGGATTTATACGAAGCACCTGCAGGTTTACCTGTGTCCTCAGGGTCACCAGAGGGGTGCAAATGGTTCCTGGAAATGCATTTTGGGGAGGGGGGGGAAGAGGCAGGCTACAGGAACAATTCGCACCACTCAGGTGACCCTGAGGACACAGGTAAACCTGCAGGTGCTCCAAGGATCCTCTAAACCAGGGGTCTCCAACCTTGGCAACTTTAAGCCTGGAGGACTTCAGCTCCCTTCTGGGAGTTGAAGTACTCCAGGCTTAAAGTTGCCAAGGTTGGAGACCCCTGCTCTAAACAACGCTGCAAATGACCAGCTGTCTGCAAGGAGCATAAATCCTTCCCTTCCCCACCCTCCTCTCAGTGCTGAATAAAGCTCTATAAAGCCTTAGTAAGACCACACCTATAGTACTCTATCTAGTTTTGGTCACCACACTATAAAAAAGAAGTAGAGACTCTAGAAAGAGTGCAGAGAAGAGCAACAGGGATCATTAAGGATCTGGAGGCTAAAACATATGATGAACGGTTGCAGGAACTGGGCCTGGCTAGTCTAGGGAAGGGAAGGACCAAGGGAGACGCGAGAGCATCTTCCAATATTTGAGGGGCTGCCCCAGAGAGGAGGAGGAAGGACTCAAGCTATTCTCCAAAGCCCCTGAAGGCCAGACAAGGAAGAATGGATGGAAACTGATCAAGGAGAGATTTAACCTAGAAATAAGGAGGGATTTTCTGACAGCGAGAACCATCAACCCATGGAACAGAAGTTGCCCTCGGAAGTTGTGGGAGCTTCATCTCTTGAGACCTTCAAGAAGAGGCTGGACTGCCACCTGCCAGAAATGGTGCAGGGTGTCCTGCTTGGGTGGGAGGTTGGACTAGATGACCTACAAGGTCCCTCCCGACTCTGATGATCTCTGTTATCCAAAGAAGCTTCTCAGATGTGAAGTAAAACGTTTTCAGTTGAGAAACCAGAAAGTCCAGTTGCCTCTTGGAAAAAAAGGCCCCTTTGGGACAACCGTGATCTGGAGAATCTCTACAGATTAGTACACCTCCTCTTTTCCTTATAACAACCACCCTGTGGGGTGGGCTGGGCTGCAGAGAGGGACCGGTTATAAGTTATCCGTGTAGCTTCTGCGCCTGAGGTGGGACTAGAACTCACCGTCTCCGGGTGACGGGTCCCTAAAGTCACCCAGCTCAGGTGGGTCTGGAATCCCCTCTCTCCCACTCTCTAGCCTGGTCCTTTGCCCCCAGACCACCCAGCCCAGCAGGGTGGGGGTCTTCAAGGGACCGAGCTGGCCCCAAGTGTCCAGGAGAAGGCGGCGGCTCTCGGGCACACGTGTCCCCCTCTCAAGTTAGCCCAAGGCCGGAGGATTCCCTGACTCGGTGGCTCCAGGCGTGACCCGGAAGAAGGAGCGGCTCCCTCCTGCCTTCCGGGCTGGCCCTTAACCAGGGGGCCAGGTCTGACCTGCTGGACTTCCAGGCAGGACGAGAGGATGGCGACTCAGAACTCTCAAGACCCAACTCTCGTTCAGGCCCAACTGGGCTGCTGTGGCTGTTTGGGCAGCTGCCGCACCCAGTAAAGGGCTCGCCTTTAAGTGACCGTCCTCCAGGACAGGGGTCTCCAACCTTGGCCCCTTTAAGCCCGGCGGACTTCAACTCCCAGAATTCCCCAGCCAGCAAAGAGGAGGGGGCGGGGGTCACACTATTCTGCAAAGCCCCTGAGGGCGGGACAAGAAACAACCTGGATGGGAACTCATGCCCTCCCTGAGAGGGAGGTCAATTGACCAATGGAAGGGAAGCTGTGGGGGCTCCACCCACTGGAGGCTTTGAAGAGGAGGCTGGGCAGCCCCATAGGTTCTGCTGCTGGAGCAGGGGCTGGACTAGAAGACCTCCAGGCCCCTCCCAGCTCATTAACTCCCCCCGCCCCGTCCCACAGCCCCTCGCCCAGCCTTCTCCCTGCATGGGATTGGGGACTGCAGGGGCTGAGCCCACCCCCCCCCGCCAAAGTCCCTCCTGGGACCCCCTAGCAATTCAGGGAGGCTGCACCCAGGGTGGGGGTGGGGGTGCTGGGAGCCCCTTTGTGTGTGTGTGTGTGCGTGGGGGGGGGGCACCCTCCTTGGCTCCGGGTCCCCCTTCGGGGGGGGGCTGCTCCGGCCCCCATCACTGCTGGGTCTGGGGCTGCCCCCCCTCCATCTCCCCCCCCCCCCTCCCAGAGTTCCTCAAGATGATGGAAGGTGTGCAGTAAAGCGTCGAGACATTCCTGCGAGACCGGCCGGCAGGAGTGGCCGCTGCCCCCAGCCCTGCCGCGCTCCCCGGGCCCATGCTCCTGCGCCCGCTCGCTCTGCACAGCTCAGACACGCCCCTCCAGCCGAACCCTGGACCCCATCGCCCCCATCGCTGTGAAAGCCTCTTTCTAACACTGACACCTCAATAAAGAGCAAGGGACTGTGGAAAAGAGGGGCTGAGTTTGGTTGGGGAAGCCTCGTCCCTCGGACCCCCCCCCCCGGCAAGGCCTGTCCCCCAGCAGCCCTTCCTGTGCCAGGCAGCGGGAGGGGGCAGCCAAGGGGAGGTCACTTGCCTTCCCTCTGGGGGAAGGAAACCCCATGGAGGGGGGAGCACTGGGACTCCTGCCCCTCCCTGGGCTTCAGGGCCTAGCCCGTTCGTTGTCCGTCTCCATCCGGCGGAGAACTCTGTGCTGGGGCAGGGGGGGCACCTCGGTATCTACCTGGGCCCGGGAAAGAAACGGGGGAACTAAGCGAAGGGGCTGCTGCTCCATGGGGGCAGTTGAGCTCCCTCGAACAGCTCCGGGCTCCCTTCCTGAGGGTGGGGCACTTCCCCCCCCCTTCCTCCTCAGGGGTGGCAGGGAAGGCTGTGGGAGGAGACCCCATGCCTTCCCTTCCTCCTATCCCGAGAGAGAGAGAGAGAGAGAGAGAGAGAGAGAGAGAGAGAGAGAGAGTGAGTGGGGGAACGCACACCAGGGTTCCCCTCATCTACTGAAGCACCCCAGAGAGGATGGTCCGGGGTGAAAGGGTGCACTGCTTCCGCATGAGCGGTTTAAGATGAATCGGCCACTCTCTGGCCAGTCCCCTGAGAAGACCCATCCGAAGGGTGTGTGTGTGTGTGTGTGTCTCGGAGCATCAGTCCCTCAGTGATGGGCAAGGACCATTTGCCTCCAGAGTCCGTTTTCCTGGCTCCCCCTACAAGCCAAACCTTGTGACTTCAGCCGCAGGAGTCTCCTGGGGGGGGTGGAATCCCTACACCTGCCTAGAATCAGAGCCAAAAGGGGGGTGTTGAAAAGGAGAATTCTCAAGGCTTCTGCCAGAAGCCCCCAAACTTGGCCACTTGAAGACCGGTGGACTTCAACTCCCAGAATTCTAGGCATTGGAAGCCCGCCAGTCTTAAAGTGGCCACGTTTGGGGACCCTGGCTTATGCCATTATACCCCATGGGCCCTGGTGTCCCCGGAGGGAGGTGTCATGTGATCCCCTTTAACTCTGGCAAGAAAAGTCATAAAATGAGGCAGAACTCAAGAGTGGTCAGAGATTTGAGGAGGACCATAAAGCAAGCAACCTTACACTCGCCCTCTATAGCACAGGGGTGTGTGTGTGTGCGTGCGTGTCTGCGGAGGGGCGTGGAAATATTGCTCCCCTCCGGCCCCCCTTTTGGGCTACTGGGTAAAAAGTGAAAAATTGTCAGCGCCATTTTCTGCCATTGAAACACCATCAAGTCCATCTTTTCTCACAGCAGCTAAACTATCACAAGGGATATATATATATAAAAAAATCAAACTTTAAGACGGAAATATAAAAGGATTTCACCTCCATCTTAAAGTACTAAAATTATAGACACAGAAAGGGGCGGGAGAGATTTAGTACCCTATTGTATTAAATAGCAGTTGGCGAGTGTTTAAAACCGGAAACCCCCAAAGACCACAAGATGATGAGGGTCTCATTTTTCATATTATTGCAGAGGACAAACGTTATAAAACCAAAGAACACGGACACCCAACGTCTCTCTCTCAATTTGGTCCAGAGAAAGAGGAGGCAGAAATGTCTAGAGGAAAATTCCAGCCCAGCTCCCACCCACCCCATTTCCCCGCTTTCCAGCCAATGCAAGGGAGTTCGATATTACAGAATAAGTTGGAAGGGACCTTGGAGGTCTTGTAGTCCAACCCCCTACTCAAGCAGGAGACCCGGTAGCGTTCCAGACAAACGGTGGTGCAATTTCTTCTAAAAAACCTCCAGTGTTGGAGCATCCACAACTTCTGGTGGCAAGCAGTTCCATTGGTTAATTGTTCTCACTGTCAGGAAATTCCTCCTCATTCCCAGGTGGCTTCTTGTCCTGCCTTCAGGGGCTTTGGAGGATAGCTTGATACCCCCCACCCTTTGTGGCAGCCCCTCAAACATCGGAAGACGGTTACCCTGTCTCCCCTGGTCCTTCTTTTCGTCAGACGAGAGACACACCCAATTCCTGCAACCGTTCACTGTATGTTTTATCCTCCGGTCTCCTCATCCTCTTTCTTGCCCTTCTCTGCCCTCTTCCCTGAAGGCAACCCACAGACTCAAGTAGGCGTCACGTTATAAAAACGAAAGACGTTTATTTATACATTAACACCAGGGGGGAAAAAAAAGCCAAATAACGTTTAAAATGACCTATAATACAACAGAGGCGACACAGAAAATACAAGGATGAAACAGAAGAGGGAAGAGACATTATCGCCCCCTCCCCACCCAGGTGAAGCGGCCCAGGGCTGGGAAGGACATCAGGTATCCTGGCTCTTCATGTGTTTTCGGTAGGATTCATGGAGGCGTTTTTTGTAGGCTGTGTGAAGAGACAAGGGGGGGGCAGATTAAGGACCCCGGAGGAGGTGTGTGTGTGTGTGTGTGTGTGTGTGTGTTGCAGCTGCTTTTGCAACTTGTGGGTTGCAAAATGTGGGTCGCCCTCCACTTAACGACCCAATGGAGCCCAAACGTTTTCTGTTGCTAAGTGAGAAATGGGTCGAGTTTTGCCCCGTTCTCCGATTTTTATCTTGCCGCAGCGGTTAAAGGAATCACCGCAGCTGTAAAGCTGGGAACACGGTCATTAAGTAAATCTGACTTGCCCCCATTGACTCGGCTTGTCAGGAACTTGCAAAGACAGGACCCTTGCGCTGGCAAAGCCTTTGCCGAGCACCCCAATCTTGATCACGTGACCACGGGGATGCCACAAGGCTCGTAAGCGTGGAAAATGGCTGCAAACCGAGACCTCCCAACAGTCACTGAACGAACTGCTGTAAGCTGAGGACTGCTTGCAGCAGTCAAAGTGCCCGAGAAGGCAAGCAAATAGGAACCGGCCTCCCCCTCTTTCAGACAAGGAAGACCCTAGTCCTCATGAAGACAAGGAGTCCCCCCCACCCCCCGCCCCAATTCAAGTGGCATTCTGCAGCTCCCCCTCAGTGCTGGGGCTGGGGGTTTGGGTCTCTTTCCAAGAGTTCCGATTGCTCAGAATTTTATCCCTCCTTTATTACTTTATAGGCAGCTACGATAGTGGAGACGCCCAATACCCCTTTTTCTTCCCATTTGCCTCACAACAGCAAGATGGGCTGGGCTGGGCTGGGAGGGAGGGAGGGAGGGGCCCAGCTGGCTTTTGTACCCAAGGCCTCACTAGAACTCAAGTCTCCCGGTGTTTGGCCCAAAGCGACCCAGCCGCCTTTCCTTCTAAGTGCCACTAAGGGTGTACAATCTTCTAAGACTGTAACCTTCTAAGTGTCTGCAATCCTCCCCCCCTCCCCGCCATCTTGTCAGACCCGAAGAAGCTTCTTGGATGAGAAGCGAAAACATCGAAAAACCAGGAAGTCCAGTTGCCTCCTGAAAGCAGCCCCTTTGGTACTTCCCTTCTAATGCACAACTAGAACCCGGCGTCTCCTGGGGATTGGCCCAAGGTCACCCAACTGGTGTTCCTACATAGGGCAGGACTAGAACTCTCTCTCCCCTGCCCTCCTGGTTTCTAGCCTGGTGCTTTCACACACACACACACACACACACACCCGCCAGGCCAAAACTTGGCCGACTCACCTGCTTGGTTCTTCCACAGCTCGGCAGCTTCTGTATTCAACGGACTTTCCACGTTGGGCTCTGAAGGGGCAGAGAAGGTCCCCAAACACGGTTGGGAAAAAGGATCCAATTCTCCCCCCTCCCTCCCACTGTGGGACCCTGCTCTGCCAGGGAGGGAGGGCATACTTGGCACCGCCCCGGCACAGGGGCACGGCCCTTCTGCATGGAACGCCCTTCCCGGCAATGGAAGCCCCGGGGTGGCACCCCGTCCCTTCCGACTCCACGGGGTGCAGCTCAGAAGCTCCCGTGGGGATTCCACAGCTGGGTTCCCCCCCCCCCCCCCAGGACGCTCTTCCTCCTCACCTCCCAGCAAGCTCTGGATGGAGAGCAAAATGGTCCGGACATCGTAGAGAGCCGACCACTTGTCCTTCAGGATGTCCAGGCAGATGTTGCCCTGCAGGTCCACGTTGGGGTGGTAGCAAGGGGTGAGGAACTTGACGGTGGGAGCGTTGTAGGGGTAGCCGCTGGGGAATTCCAATGAGAGTTTGTACCTCAGCTCCTCGTAGACCTGCTTTGGGAAAGGGGGGGGGGAGATCAGGCAGGGCCTCCCCCTTGTCCTGCCTGGCTCTTCCCCACTTCTCTTCCGCTTGGAAGCCCACAGTCCCGGATCTTCTGGTAGGAAGCACCACCCAGGGATTCTTCGGGGCAGGGGGTCTCCCACCTTGGCAACTTTTAAGACTTGTGGATTTCAGCTCCCAGAATTCTACAAGTCTTAAAGTTGCCAAGGTGGGGAGACCCCGGGCTTTGGGGTGTCTCATTACTGCAAACTGGGGGAGGGGAAACCCTGCCCAGAAGCCCCTCCCCCCAACAGCCAGAGAGGGCCCTGGCTGGACAAAGGAAGGAGACCTCTTTCCCCCAGGAACTCCAGATGACCACAAGGGATTCCCAGGGAGGCATCAGGGAACCCACCACCCCTCCCGTGGGCCCGCCAGTGGGGTGGGGCAGGGGGGCTGCGCTCCCTTCCACGCCTCCGAGCGTTTCCTGGTCAACTGCAGTGCTTGGCAACGGGGGCTGCGCCTGGGGGTTTGAGGAGCGTTAAAGGCTGCCAGGATGGGTGGGGGGTTTGAAGGATAACAGAATAAGAGAGTCGGAAGGGACCTCGGAGGTCCTCTAGTCCAACCCCCTGCTCAGGGCAGGGGGAAGAGGAGCCCGAGGCGAACCCTGCGGGGCCCAAGGCCGCCTCCCTTCCCTCCTCGGCCCGCTCACCGTCCCAGCCACGCCGTTGATGGTCCCGATCCACTTGAAGAGATTGTCCGACTCCGGGAAGGCGGAGATGCCGTGGTCTCCGGACATCTGCGAGGTTCAACACCGCGCGGGGGGGTCAGAGGCGGCCCGGAAGGAGGGCCCGGGAGCGCCAACCCACCCCTCGCCCCCCACCCGCCCGGCGCCCCCGGGAGACTCACCATCAGCGTCATCAGCTCCTGCTGCAGCCTGCGGGGCGAGAAAGAGAGCGGTTAGCGCCGGCAGCGATTAGCCCCGGCCGGCCCGGAGGAGGCTCCGCCCGTGCCCGCCGGTCCCCCCCACCCAGCCAGCCCCACCTGCTGCGCACGGAGCCCCGGGCGGCGCCCCCGCCGGGTTCGGCCGCCTTGCTGGGGGCGCGGGCGACGGCGCCGGGGTCGTCGTTCTGCGAGGCCATGGCGAGCGCAGCGCTGCAGTTTCCTTCCTCCTCGGCGGCGGCGGCCGCTGCGCGAGTTTGAATGTTGCAAAGCTGCCGGGGCGAAGCCAATCGGAGGGCCCCTCGCGTTCGATCTGCCCAATGGCGGCGCGCGCGCCCAGCGATTGGCCGCTGCCGCGTTGCTCCGACGGTGGTGGGCGGGGCCTCCTCCCGCGGGGCGGGGCCGGGCGGGCGCGGCTTTCCCGCTGGTCTCCCTCGCAGGGCTGTTGGGAGGCGGAGCGGGGAGGGGGCCGCTTTGGCTCTCCGCCTCGCCCCCCGCCCTGCCCGGCCTCCCCTCCCCAAGCCCCGCGGAGCTTCCTCCCTTGTGCGGGGAGGGGGTGCCCCCCCCCCCATGGCTGGCTTCTCTCCGGGAAACTCCGGCGGGGGATGATGGGAGGCCCCGGTTTGGACCATGGGTGGAAATCTGGTTGTCCCGAGGGGAGGGGAGGCTGGGATGTGGGGGGCGCTGGGTCGTTCCCCCCCTCCCCCCGAAGATCGGCGCCTTTCCCCGCACTGAAGGCGGCTCCCCGGGTCGGCAGGCGGTCGCAGGGGCGGCTCGTTGGCTTTTCCTCCCAAACAACGTGGCCTTTTGGGGGGCTTGTATCCTGCCAGCGCCTCTCGATTTGAACAGGGAAGAGGGGAAACGGATTCACACACACACACACACCGGATTAGAGAAGCGAAATTAACGGCACTGACCGGGAGGGGGCTCCAATCTTGGCAACTTGAAGACTTGCCGACTTCAGAATCAAGAGAGCTTTTCGGGATCTTCAGAGGTCTTCTAGTCCAACCCCCTGCTTAGGCAGCAGACCCTATAACCACTTCAGACCAAAGGCTGCCCAGCCTCTTCTTGGAAAACTCCAGTGATGGATCACCCACGATTTCTGTCCCACTGGTGAATTGTCCTCCCTGTTTTGGGCGTCTCTCCTGGATCAGTGGCCATCCCAGAATTCCCCAGCCAGCTCCGACAATCCTCGCCCAGTCAGACAGACGGTGGGGGAGGGCCGGGAAACGCACCATGGGGCCTCATCCGCACACCGACACCACCACCCCGATCAGCCGGTGACGACCTCCAGCAGCTTCTCAGGGACAAAGCAGGGATTTTGGAGCAAGCTCTGTTGGCCCCCCCTGTCCCCCCCCCTGCCATTGGGCTCGGCTGCCCCACCAAGGCGGGCCGGAAGTGTCCCTGAGGAAGGGGAGGCAGCTCTACTCCCCCCCACCCTTCCCCAACCCACTGAATGACTCCAGGAAGAGCCGGAGAGAACGAGTGAGGGGTCCAGAAAGAGGTTTGTGTCCCTCAGTCCAGGTCGCTCTGCAAAAGCCACAACGGCAGGGATTCACGCAACAAGCCAAGCGAGAGAAAAGGACACACACACGCACACAAAAGCCTGGTGCGATGTGTGAACCGGCTGGTGCCAGGTGCAGAATGAAACCTTCTCTAACTTGGGCGCCGCCTGGATGTGGGTGGCAGCAGGCCTGAGTGGTGCAGCCGCCCTCCAAAGCCCCCTGGGGCCACAGTGCCCCTCAGCGTGCCAGCCAGGCGGCCCCCTGGCCCATCAGCCCCCGGGGCCGGTGCCTCCCACCCCTCAAGCAGCAACAGGGAAGTTCCCTCGGAGGCCTTTATTGGCACCAAACCCTCCAACAAGCAAATACAAGAATCCAAATAAAAAAAGCCGGAAAGGAGGGAGGCGCCTGGCGGGATCCTGCGCAGGGGGAGGCTGCCCCCCCACCACCCCGAGGGGGCAGGAGAGGCTGGCCCGGCCCGGCCTACGTCTCCCGCATTTCCTCCGGCAGGGAAGGCGGCGGCTGTGGCTGCTGCGGCTGCGGCAACGGCGGCTCCCCTTCGCTGCGGAAGGTCTTCATGTATCTCTGCATCTTCGCGATCATCCAGGATGGGATGGAGAAGGGCTTGAGCTCGTCCAGCTTCAGCTCCTGGGAAGCCCTGGGCGGGGGGGAGGGGGGGGAGGAAGAGGAGGAAGGCGTGGAAGAGGAAAAAGAGGAACAGCAAGAGGAGAGGGGGAAGGAGGAGGAGGAGGAGGAAGAGGGAGGAAGAGGTGGCGTTCAAGAAGGCCGGGACAGCGCCCCCCCCCCTTTGCCCCACTCCAGCCTCCTGGGAATAGGCTCCGCCCCCCCCGCCCCCGCCTCCCCGAGCCTCACCTGTACTCGTCGCTGGCCGCCAGGTCCTGGATGTCCTCCTCCAGCAGGAGGTAGGCCTGTGCAGGGAGAGAAGGGGGGGGGGCATCAGCGGAGGCCGGCCCCTTCCGGGTGCAGCCTGGATTCCCAGGGCCCGGGGGAAGAAGACGTTGCCCCCCCCCGCTTCACACACACACACCCCCGCGCACTGACCATCTTCCCTCCGGTGGCCCTCATGTACTGCTCCTGAGCCAGCCAGTGCTTGTCTTGGGGGTCTGCCGCGTACTG